TTAATGTGGTTTAAGGGCTTTTTCACACTCGTTTGTTTGACAGACTGCAAGCGCTCAACACGTTAAAATATTGTGGTAAATATGGTTTGTTTTTGGGTCCTTTTTGTGAATATTTCAAATGTCCACTCAAATCTGAGACTTCAATGAATAGTTTGTATTGTTAAACAAACTTGCAGGTAACATACAGGCAAGTGCCAAACTTAACTCTCCACAAAACACTTGCGTATCCCTCAGGGGAATGTCCATGTACTTGTGAGGGACATAGCAGAATGCCTTTAAAGGTATAAAGCCACATTTACATGTGCGCTTTATATGACACAGGAACTGAGATCATTTATTGTTGACGCATTAATTATTTCTGACAGAGCTCTTGAAGTGCTGGGAAAAAAAAAAGAAAAAAAAAAGAGAAAATGCTCTTAGAGCATGAGGTCACTGAGGTTTTATTTCTGGTTTCAGTCATTTCAGCTGTAGGCTACTATATGTCCACATTATTTTACTATAAAGTCACAATTAGGGTGTGCACTGTGCATTAATATTCAAAACCTTTATTATTATTCGAAAAATAAAATAATGTATTTACGGTCAGCAGTGAGTCCATGATCATTTTTTTTTTTAGTTACAGTTATAATTAAATGCACTGGGTGGCGCTGTGGAGCGTGTTAACGCATGGATTTTATTTGATCATATCAGTGAATCTATCAGTGAATCGACTCTCGTATCAGTTTACGAGTCCTGTGACGTCATTGTGTGTGATGTTTTTAATGCTGGAGAATAATCCATCAGTTCTCACCTTTATGAGCATCAGAACAGAAAAACACTTTCAGTTCATGTAGAATAAACTCTAGACATGTTTCAGTGATTTACATTGTGTTGAATGAATGGAAAAGCTTCATCTGTGTTTCTTCTGCTTTTAGTGCTGATGTCCCTCGTTCACTCTGGACTCAGTCAAGGTACTGTCCGTTACTGCAGTACATATAATTATGTTTTAATTAATGAGAATTGTGTTATAGTATTTATTTGTCTACATCAGGATCCCACATTTGTCTCTTTGCTGATGTTTTATGTTTGCATATATTTCACAGAATCATCTGACTGTAGTTCATTATGCTGCAAAACATTACAGAAATCTGCTATTTATTAAATCAATCAAACAGTCTTGCATTGTACAATAGTTCAGTCGACTGTAAGCATACGCAGACACGAGTGTTTCTCTTGCTACTGGTTTATCTGAAGACTTTTCTCCAAATCCATCATGAAAACTAAAACAAACAACACAATACAGAAATCACATCAGCTCGACACACAGCAAAAGCGTGTAACAGATGTAATGACATTTCACACAAAATACAGACAAATAAAACAAAATACCTTGTTGGCTCGATTCTGTGAGAAAGGGAAATATACTTTTAATTTTCATTTTATGATAAAAGGTAGAACAAATTGCAACAGAAGCAAACTCAGCTGATTTTGTATCCTCAATATGTCCTGAGTGAGGAAAAAAGCCCTGAAGAATCCCATTAGGGGAAAGTTTGGAAAAGACTCAAATATTTTCTCTCAGGTGAATAGGGTAAAAATGTTAACCTTTAGATATCATTATGAAAATTGAGTTGATTACTTGCATCAAGACAAACAACAAATATATTACAAGTTTTTTATTTATTTATTTATTATAGTTTTTTTATTGTTTGTTAACATGGGCAAACTGTATGTGCGTAATCTGTATGTGCTAATTTGCATAAATACCACAACAGATCTAAACATTGGGTATAGCAGGTGAACATGTCTTGTTGAATCTTGCTGACATATAACAGTAAACTATTTAATGATAAGGTCTAAATGAAACCTAATTAGGCTACCAATGAGCATTAACACATATTTGAGACAATAACGTTTGCAGTAACTCAAAAATATAATTATTTAATTTAGCAAAAAATATGATTATAATTTGGAAACACTGCATTTTTACACTGTGCTGTTGTAGTTTGAGTTGCAAATACACATTTCATCATTTCACTAATCTGTGTCGGCATTATCCTTGAGAACCAAGAAAGATGACTCATGAAACCATTTGTTTATTATATATCTCAATCACAATATTGACTTCAACAAATCGTAATATGACATTTTCCCCAAATCGTGATGTCCTAATTGTGATCCTATTCATCCCATAGAAGGTAATTAGTTCAGTCAGACTTAATTAAAACAGAAATGAGTTGCACAGTGAGAGTTTTATTTGCATGTTTCTGAGATTTGCTGAAATTGTAATTATTGACGGTGTGTCATTAAGATCTCGAGCACCAATGCTAAGCTTTATTCATTCAGTGGTTTGGTTGGAAGAGCTGGAAGAGAAAAGTGTTTGAGAACAGACGGACAGAAGTTAGTTAGTGAGTTCCCAGTTCAGATCTTTAAACACTCTGACTGTAAACAGCACCATCTACTGGTCAGAACAGGCAGAGCAATAATACAATAAAGACATGCAGACTGGAGACATACATCACTTTCATTTAGTTTTTACCAATACATGCATGCAATCATTGCAATTTACAAGAATTTTTTTTTTTTTTTTTTTTAATTTAAGTGTTTTTCTCCTGAGGAAGTTTTGAGTTTATGAAGTGATCTTGATCCTGCAATGCTTTTCAATATTTACTTCTTTCTCAGTGAAACCTGTAGTGACGGTGAAGCCAGATCAGCCTGTGTTCAGAGGAGAGAGAGTCACTCTCACATGTGTCATACAGGGAGGAGGAAACATTCAGAGATACATCTGGATTAAAGATGGACACACTGGCTATCAATATACAACAACAACAGCAGATTACAGTTTCACAGCTGATGCGTCTCGCAGTGGTGAATACAGTTGTAGAGGAGAGAGATCAGACTCATACACAGAGATCAGTGATGGAGTTACACTGACTGTATCAGGTGAGTCTTCATATTCACATCTGTTTAATCATAATTTTTCATAATCATAATCATTAATTTATAAGCTTTAAAATGTGTTGATTTAGTTGACCTTTATACTGCACAGACCATATATAAAGCTTAGAAGAATTTACTTCCAAACTGTGTTCAGAGGCTGTTTGAAATAAGAGAAAGTCAGTATCAACTAAGAGGAATGTGTTTTAAAAAGTGAGAGCAAGAACTAATACAAAAAAAAAAAAAAAAAACAAAAAAAACAATGCATATCTGTTAAAGGAGTAAACTTATGGAATAATTGTGATGAGGAATTAAAAGTGTGTAATTCGTTTCGGTTGAAGTCAGGCAGGAGACATGGTGAGGTACAAATAATGAAATCACTTTTATTTTATAAAATGACTCAAACAATCACAAAAGACAACACCACATCCAACAAGGATCTTCAACTTAGGCAGCCCTGGAGACGACGTCACTCAACCCAAAGGGTCCTCTCTATTCTCCTAAAAAAGAAACAAAGAAAACCACACACACACACACACACACACACACACCGCACTCGGTTGAACACCTCCGTGTGCCACAGAAAACACTCCAAGATGAGGAGGACTGCCGCTCTTATTTTCCTCGCTGCCCAGGCCTACAAATAAAGAACACACACACAAAAGACTCACACAACACAATAAACACAACTTAAACAACACAGTCTCATCCCAAAAAGTCATATAACTGACGTCTTGGGACGTTTTTTGACCATACGTCAATATCCGCCTTTTTAGGGCCCCCTTAAACGTCGGTAGATGGCGATCCCGGGCCGTCATACAACTGACGCTTTACCTTTAACGTCAGTTAGGTGACGGGTTAGGTTTAGGGTTAGGTTTAGGTCTGGGGTAGAGTTAGGATCCCATAACGTTTAAGGGGGCCCTAAAAAGGCGAATATTGACGTATGGTCAAAAGACGTCCCAAAACGTCAGTTATATGACGTCTTGGGATGAGACCGGGTTGACTTAAACAATAATATATACAAAAAGGAAACCCTAAAAAAAATAAGAAAGAGAAAACTACACAAACACAATTGTTTGGCCCAAATGCACAGTGTTCATCTCAGAACAGTTCGATAACAAACATATTCTCTTCACATGTAGAAGGACACATTTTTATCAGGATTATAACATTATGTAAATTGTGATTTTCCAGTGTTAAAGACGTCTCCATCTTTGAGATTTACTTTAGTCACTGTTAGTTTGGTTACAGGAGATATTTAATAATAGAAAAGATGAGATTTGTCCGAGAGAATGACGTGACTTACAGACACTGATGTGAAATGAGTTGATGAAGTCTTCAGATATTCTGATGAAGTTGATTCAGACTCAGTATCTCCTCATATAAGCTTTAGTTGGAGATCTTCATCTCTCCTTCAGGAGCTTCATTCTGCTTTCTGTGGCGAGTCAGAGCCTCAAAACAACTGACATGATAAAACTAATGACAGAACAGCAACAAAACACAACTAATACTATGAAATATGAGACAAAATCATCATGACTCATCATGTTAGTCTGCCCGAATCAGCTTCAACATCAATATTAGAATATAATAGAATATGTTTCTTCTCTAAAAGATCTTAATTATCATCGAGACGATTCCTCCTGATCTCAGTAATATGTAAATATCAGCGGAGTGAAACTCGATCACTTCTAGTGTGAAACGGCAGCGGGATGTCAAGAATAATCCTGTGTTCAGAAGATACATGAAGGACACATGGAGTCCCGTCTCAAACAATATCAATGATGTGGGAACGGAAGGCTTTCAGTTTCATTGTTATCCTCAATTTACTTTTAAGACTAAACTTCATTTACATGTAGAGCTGGAGGAAGAATGTAATACAGTATATAATGTTTGAGCAGAGATTATTCTGGGTTTATTCTGACTCTGATGAACGCAGGAGCTTTAATGCACTTTGTCACTGTTGCTGCAATAACACTTCATCATTGAGATCTTCAACATCCTCGAAACATTTATAAAATATAATTCTGTTACAATGCACTGAAAGAGATGTTTGAGTCAGTTTGTGTTTCTGTGTTTCTTCTCAGGTTTACCCACATCTACAGTGACTGTGACACCAGCCGGTCCTGTATTCACTGGAGAAACAGTCAATCTGAAGTGTGTGATAAAACCTTATCACAGTAACTGGAGATATGAGTGGTATAAAGACAGTGAAAAGTTACAGACGTCTGGTCGTTACACTGTAAACAGAGACACTGTCACTATCAGTGGAGCTACTGAGTCTGATCAGGGTCAGTACTGGTGTAAAGGACAGAGAGATGGAAGACCAAACTCATCAACATCAAGATCTGCTGTTTCTCTCTCTGTGAAGGGTGAGTTCAACATCATAAACTCTCTCTGATACAGTATATATAATCGAGGCACTGTTCAGACTGATCTACTGTCTTATTAAATTCAGTAAACAGGGCCAATAATTAACACTCATCATAAGCCAAATGTGAGTAAAAATCAGCGAGAGTGTGAACGGTGTCAGTCGGCCAGTTTCTACACAAAGTGAACAACAGCGAATGACACTCTGTACAGTTGACGTGTCAGCGCTTCATCATCACGAAAGTTTCTGCCTTTCCAATGTAAATATTCAAGAGCTGGAAGTGAAACAGTGAAAGGGAATTCGTAACTTGTGTGTGTGGTCCGTCCGTGTATCTTTTGGCCATTTGATTTCCTGTTTGGAATGGAATAACGAGAAATGAAAACCAGCTTGTTTATTTGTTTCTTTGTTGAGTTTAAAAAAAAGAAAAAATTGATTTTGGCTTGATTTTTCATTTTTCGTTTGTGGTTTACAAATCGGTTTATGGGTTCGATATTTCATTTACGCTGAAACGCCCCTTTCATCTGATTGGTCAAACCGCTCGAGCTTTTCTTTCTGTCCGGCAGAATAAGAGTCTCGAGTGCGGCATTGACAAATGCACTTTAATAAAATAATGTCTGAAACCACCACTCACTGTTAACTACGCACAATAGTTGAAGCAGAAATATGTTGCTGGTCACGTAACTCCATTAATGTGAGCCACATACGCCTACATATGACAGATTATTTTAGCATGATGTATTTCGCATTGATAAATACTGTGCAAATAGTTCAGTGTTTTGGATAAAAGGGAAGTGGAAATAAAAAATCAATACTAGAGGTAACAGTACCATTATTTTGATGGTGCAATTTTATACAGCTATCATAGAGTCCATTCTCACCTCCTCCATCACTACCTGGTATGCTGCTGCCACGGCCAAAGATAAGAGCAGACTGCAGCGTATCATCCGTACGGCGGAGAAGGTGATCGGTTGCAGTCTGCCTTCCCTCGGGGACTTGTACTCCTCAAGGGCGCTGAAACGTGCAAAGAGGATTATGGCAGATCCCTCTCACCCTGGTAATTCCCTGTTTCAGCTACTCCCCTCTGGCAGGAGGCTGCGGTCCATCAAAACCAGCACCTCTCGCCATAAGAACAGTTTTTTCCCTTCTGCTACTGGCCTCCTTAACAAGGCCTGGAGCTCTAAGTGACACTGACCTCAAATTTGAACTCATTTTTGCACTTTATCATATCTGCACTATTACTTTATTAGGTACCCCATGTGGGCACACTTTTGTGTTATTATAGTATGTACCCTATATGCTGTATGTTATATGTTTGCACCTTCCGGCCAAAGTAAATTCCTTGTATGTACAAACATTCAGGGCGAATAAACCCATTCTGATTCTGATTCTGATTCTGATTATAAAATATGTCCGTAACATGAGATGTCTGTAGACGACCTTCGGTTACATTAGAAATAGGGGATAACACTGTATAAAAATACTGTATTTAAATCATTATGTCTAAAGTTCCCGCATAAAACATGAAAACCCAACAACCCAATGGGAATATATCCTTGTTGTGTAAAACATCTATACCCAGTTCTGCTGCTAAACTGGGTTGTTTCTAACCCAGCAGTTTTTACCACAGTATATTATTGAACTGTATTATGCTACATTGGCTCATGACCTCATCACATTGCATGTTTAAGTCAGTAATATTTTTACACTCTTAAATTATGTAAGATTTATAAATATTGCGCAAGCTGTAATTCTGTGACATGTACATAGAAAATAAAAGTATTACGTATTATAGACTCAGTTTACATGTGTGGCATTCTATACCCAGTCTTTTAGTTTATACAAAGTTTATCTGTATATAATCTATCAATAAATAAAAAAATGTATGTAATCAATACAAACTTCCAACAAACTAGATATTTCATTTTAATACAGTGTTTGTCTCATAAGGAGGTGTTGAGTTTATAAACTCTAACATTGATCATGATACTGTGATTCAGTTTTAATCAATATTTACTCATTTGTGTATTAATACAGGAAAACCTGTAGTGAAGGTGAAGCCAGATCAGCCTGTGTTCAGTGGAGAGACAGTCACTCTCACATGTGTCATACAGGGAGGAGGAAACATTCAGTGGAGATACAGATGGATTAAAGATGGAAACACTGGCTATCCATATACAACAACACCAACAACAGCAGATTACAGTTTCACAGCTGATGCGTCTCACAGGGGTAAATACAGTTGTAGAGGACAGAGATCAGACTCACACACAGAGATCAGTGATGGAGTTACACTGACTGTATCAGGTGAGTCTTCATATTCACATCTGTTTAATCATCATTTAATATCCATATTTCAACACTTATGATCTTCTGTATCAGCCACGTCTGTTCTTATAAGCAATTCACTTTTAGTCATGATTGTCTTCAGATGAAGTGCATGTCATGTTTGTCGTGTGTGCGTGTGTGTTGCACATTTTTATCAGGATACTTTTATAAAATCATGTAAATTGTGATTTTCCAGTGTTAAAGACGTCTCCATCTTTGAGATTTACTTTAGTCACTGTTAGTTTGGTTACAGGAGATATTTAATAATAGAAAAGATGAGATTTGTCCGAGAGAATGACGTGACTTACAGACACTGATGTGAAATGAGTTGATGAAGTCTTCAGATATTCTGATGAAGTTGATTCAGACTCAGTATCTCCTCATATGAGCTTTAGTTGGAGATCTTCATCTCTCCTTCAGGAGCTTCATTCTGCTTTCTGTGGCGAGTCAGAGCCTCAAAACAACTGACATGATAAAACTAATGACAGAACAGCAACAAAACACAACTAATACTATGAAATATGAGACAAAATCATCATGACTCATCATGTTAGTCTGCCCGAATCAGCTTCAACATCAATATTAGAATATAATAGAATATGTTTCTTCTCTAAAAGATCTTAATTATCATCGAGACGATTCCTCCTGATCTCAGTAATATGTAAATGTCAGCGGAGTGAAACTCGATCACTTCTAGTGTGAAACGGCAGCGGGACGTCAAGAATAATCCTGTGTTCAGAAGATACATGAAGGACACATGGAGTCCCGTCTCAAACAATATCAAAGATGTGGGAACGGAAGGCTTTCAGTTTCATTGTTATCCTCAATTTACTTTTAGGACTAAACTTCATTTACATGTAGAGCTGGAGGAAGAATGTAATACAGTATATAATGTTTGAGCAGAGATTATTCTGGGTTTATTCTGACTCTGATGAACGCAGGAGCTTTAATGCACTTTGTCACTGTTGCTGCAATAACACTTCATCATTGAGATCTTCAAAGTCCTCGAAACATTTATAAAATATAATTCTGTTACAATGCACTGAAAGAGATGTTTGAGTCAGTTTGTGTTTCTGTGTTTCTTCTCAGATTTACCCACATCTACAGTGACTGTGACACCAGCCGGTCCTGTATTCACTGGAGAAACAGTCAATCTGAAGTGTGTGATAAAACCTTATCACAGTAACTGGAGATATGAGTGGTATAAAGACAGTGAAAAGTTACAGAAGTCTGGTCGTTACACTGTAAACAGAGACACTGTCACTATCAGAAGAGCTACTGAGTCTGATCAGGGTCAGTACTGGTGTAAAGGACAGAGAGATGGAAGACCAAACTCATCAACATCAAGATCTGCTGTTTCTCTCTCTGTGAAGGGTGAGTTACACATCATTGTCCTCATAAACTCTCTCTGATACAGTATATAATCGAGACAATGTTAAGACTGAACTACAGTCTTATTAAATTCAGTAAACAGGGCCAATAATTAACACTCATCATAAGCCAAATGTGAGTAAAAATCAGTGAGTGTGTGAACGGTGTCAGTCGGCCAGTTTCTACACAAAGTGAACAACAGTGAATGACACTCTGTACAGTTGACGTGTCAGCGCTTCATCATCACGAAAGTTTCAGCCTTTCCAATGTAAATATTCAAGAGCTGGAAGTGAAACAGCGAAAGGGAATTCGTAACTTGTGTGTGTGGTCCGTCCGTGTATCTTTTGGCCATTTGATTTCCTGTTTGGAATGGAATAACGAGAAATGAAAACCAGCTTGTTTATTTGTTTCTTTGTTGAGTTTAAAAAAAAGAAAAAATTGATTTTGGGTTGATTTTTCATTTTTCGTTTGTGGTTTACAAATCGGTTTATGGGTTCGATATTTCATTTACGCTCAAACGCCCCTTTCATCTGATTGGTCAAACCGTTCCGCCTTCAGTACGAGCTTTTCTTTCTGTCCAGAAGAATAAGAGTCACGAATGCGGCATTGACAAATGCACTTTAATAAAATAATGTCTGAAACCACCACTCACTGTTAACTGCGCACAATATTTGAAGCAGAAATATGTTGCTGGTCACGTAACTCCATTAATGTGAGCCACATACGCCTACATATGACAGATTATTTTAGCATGATGTATTTCACATTGATAAATACTGTGCAAATAGTTCAGTGTTTTTGAAAAAAAGGGAAATGGAAATAAAAATCAATACTAAACGTAACAGTACCATTATAAAATATGTTCGTATCATGAGATGTCTGTAGACGACCTTCGGTTACATTAGAATTAGGGGATAGCACTGTATAAAAATACTGTATAAAAATCATCATGTCTGAAGTTCCCGCATAAAACATGAAAACCCAACAACCCAATGGGAATATATCCTTGCTGTGTAAAACATCTGTTCATAATCTGTGATTACACAATTCCAATACGAATAGCACCGGGAGATCATCAACAATCATCAGTCCAGCTAATCTCACAGTGGGATCATATTCAGAATGTCCTTCTCGTAAAACACACAAATGGGCTTCCTTTGTAACATACATTTGCTCATAAATGGTAAATGGACTGCATTTATATAGCGCTTTCATAGACCTAATGGCCACCAAAGCGCTTTACATATTGCCTCACATTCACCCATTCACACACCGACAGCGGTGTCAGCCATACAAGGCGCCATCCAGCTCGTCGGGAGCAGCTGGGGTTAGGTGTCTTGCTCATGGACACCTCGACACTTGGTCAGGTGGAACCGAGGCTTGAACCACCAACCTTTCGGTTTGTAGACAACCTACATGAACCACTGAGCCACTGCCGCCCCATAAACTCTCTATTATTCATGATCACACAAACAATCAAGAGAATTTTACTTTAGATTTGTCATTCACACTGCTGATAAATAGTTGTCACTCTTCTTTTGAAGGGCTTGATTTTATTTTCTCACTGTTCTTTTACAAACTATTTAAATGAGCAAAACATGCAACTAATGCAGATGTCCGAAAATCCATTTTAAAACTGAAGTATTTTTAGAAGTGTAATCTTAAAAATACAACACTCGTGAATTTCTTATAAAACATAGAAACAACAGATAAAGTCGACTTTCTGACGCATGTGAGCACAGATCTGAGAAACAAATAAAAATAGTTCTGTTAATGGCTGATAATTACATGTCAATTACATCTATTCAGAAACAACGTTTTTTAATAAACATAAAACATTTGTGTACGTATTTTTTTTTTTTAGCTGCTTTTTCATTTTGAGAATTTCTGAGTTTTTATACAAATGCAGCTTTGGTTTTCAGAAGTTTCATCGTTTTGTATCTGATTATGATTTACAGTTCATGAAACATTAAATTTAAGATGTATTTTATCTGACACTCACACCAAAGTTTCAACATTAGCTCACCTGAGAATGAAAATTGTAATCATTTAATCTCACACACCCTCTCTTTCAAAATCTGTATGTCTTTCTTAATTAGAACAAAACTGAACCATTTTTTTATGTAGTTGGAGACAAACACTGAATGATTTGTGTAACACAGGTGAACTCTTATATTAGAATATCTATCTTCTCTAAAAGATCTTAATTATCATACAGATGATTCTTCCTGATCTCATATGTAAATATCAGCGGAGTGAAACTTGATCACTTCTAGTGTGAAACGGCAGCGGGACGTCAAGAATAATCCTGTGTTCAGAAGATACATGAAGGACACATGGAGTCCCGTCTCAAACAATATCAATGATGTGGGAACGGAAGGCTTTCAGTTTCATTGTTTTCCTCAATTTAACTTCATTTACATGTAGAGTCAGTTTGTTCTTTGTTTTTTCTCTCCTCAGATTTACCCACATCTACAGTGACTGTGACACCAGCCGGTCCTGTCTTCACTGGAGAAACAGTCAATCTGAAGTGTGTGATAAACTCTGATCAGAGTAACTGGAGATATGAGTGGTATAAAGACAGTGAAAAGTTACAGAAGTCTGGTCGTTACACTGTAAACAGAGACACTGTCACTATCAGAGGAGCTACTGAGTCTGATCAGGGTCAGTACTGGTGTAAAGGACAGAGAGATGGAAGACCAAACTCATCAACATCAAGCTCTGCTGTTTCTCTCTCTGTGAAGGGTGAGTTCAACATCATTGTCCTCCAAGTTTTTTAATAAACATAAAACATTTTTATATGTATTTTTATTTATTTATTGCTGCTTGCACTTTCTGAGAATTTCTGAGCTTTTATACAAATGCAGCTTTGCTTTTCAGAAGTTTCATCGTTTTGTATCTGATTATGATTTACAGTTCATGAAACATTAGATTTAAGAAGTCTTTTATCTGACACTCACACCAAAGTTTCAACATTAGCTCATCTGAGAATAAAAACTGTCATCATTTAATCTCACACACCCTCTCATTAGAACAAAACTGAACCATTTTATTTATGTAGTTGGAGACAAACACTGAATGATTTGTGTAACACAGGTGAACTCTGACTCTGGAGGATCTGAATCTGTTGTTGTTCTCCTGCAGATCTACAGCCGAAGCCTGAACTCACATCAGATCCTGCAGGAGCTGCACTGACTGGAAACACAGTGACTTTGACCTGTCGCATGAATCTAACCAGAGACTGGGACATTTACTGGTACAAACACACACTGAACCCTGAGACAGAGAAGACACAAACACACTCCTACAGCCTGAAGATTGATTCAGTGTCTGATGGAGGCCAGTACTGGTGTAGAGCTGGAAGAGGGAAACCAGTCTATTACACACAATACAGTGATGCACTGTGGGTAAATGTTACAGGTGAGAGAGACTGTAGTGTGTGATGCAACAAATACAGATCAGAGACAATATCTACACAACTTCTGAAACTATAAATGCAATAATCTGTGTTTGTACAGTGAGTCCTAAAGCTGTGGTGACGGTACGACCTGATGAACGAGTGTTTAGAGGAGAAACAGTCACTCTCAGATGTGATATAAAGTGGGCAGGAGACACTGAGTGGACATACAGATGGGAAATAGAGGGAACCAACGACCGATATAAAAACACTGTCAGTCGAACCTCAACACAAGAGATGATCATCAGCAGTGTCGATCTCTCTCACAGCGGTCAATACACCTGTACAGGACTGATACACACTCTCAGCTCTCAGCGCAGTGATGCTGTTACACTGACTGTCTCAGGTGAGTGTGTGTGAGTGTGTGTGTGTGTGTGTGTGTGTGATCAGCTTCTCCGTCAGTTTCTCTACGGCTCTGTAACTCGTGATGTTTTGTTCAGCTGAAGCTCAGGCATCACTGCGAGTGTCTCCACAGCCGTGGCTGACTGAAGGAGAATCAGTGACTCTGATCTGTGAGGTTTCAGGCTCCTCTACAGGCTGGACGTTCAGCTGGTTCAGAGATCATGATCATCTGTCAGACAGCAGCAGAGGAGCTGGAGGATCTTACACTCTCAGTCCTGCTGCTCTACAGCACACAGGAGTTTATACGTGCAGAGCAGAGAGAGGACGACCAGCCTATTACACACACAACAGCAGCTCACACACACTGTGGCTCACTGGTGAGGGTTTCTGCTTGTGCTCATCCGCATCTGTGTTTCACTGCAGTCTCTGTGCTGTCAGTTCTGATGGAGATTTTCCTCTTTTCAGGAGTTTCTGCTTCAGTGTCTCTGGTCATCGATCCCAGCAGAAGTCAACACTTCTCATCTCAGTCTCTCTCTCTGAGCTGTGTGGATCAGAGTAACTCTGCTGGATGGACAGTGAGAAGATACACAGACACACACACACAAACCTGTGCCAAACAAACAGGATCTCGATGTGTAATCGACTCTCTCAGCACATCTGACTCTGGAGTGTACTGGTGTGAGTCTGAATCTGGAGAGAAACGCCGTCCTCGAAACATCACTGTACACGGTGAGTCCAACCACTCACAACTATATAACAACAAACAACTAATCTGTTTAAGACTAAAAAATATTATAATAATATCAAGATTTTAACTATATAATATAATAAAATAAAATACACTACACTATAATTAAGTGTATTATTATATATATATATATATATATATATATATAGTAACACTTATATGTTACAATAACCCTTGTGAACATGTGAATATAATGTCATTTATTCCTGTGATCAAATCTGAATTTCCAGCATCATTACTCCAGTCTTCAGTGCAATCAGTACAATGTGATGATTTGATGCTTAAGAAACATTTCTGATTATTACCAATGTTGAAAACAGTTTAATATTTTTCCTGGAATTTTTTTTTTTTTTTTTTTTTGATGAATAGAAAGTTTGAAGTACATAATTTATTTGAAATTTAAACATTTTGTAACATTATAAATATCTTTTTTGATCAATGCGTCACATTTGATAGTGAATCCCTGCTGAATAAAAGTGTCAGTTTCCCAGATTAATGAAAGTGAACATTTTAGCCCTCCACATCAATAATTGAAATATGGGTCTGATTAATACATTATCATCACTACATCATCAGTACATCAGTATCATCAGTACAGTATCATCACTAGCAGCTGTTGATGTCTGTCTCGTGTTTGTAGACGATGAGGTGATTCTGGAGAGTTCTGTTGATCCTGTGATTGAGGGAGAGACTCTGACTCTACACTGTTTACATCGATCTACAAACTCCTCGATCTCCAGCGCTGATTTCTATAAAGACGGATCACTGATCCAGAATCAGACGACAGGAGAGATGAGCATCACTACTGTCTCAAAGTCACATGAGGGTTTCTACTCCTGTAAAACAGAGAGAGGACAGTCTCTCCACAGCTGGATCTCAGTTACTGAAGCCTTTAATGGTGAGATGATTTAATGAGAAACGCCACACCATTATTATATACTATTATATAGTCTCTAGCTCTTATTTCTGTCAATAAGTGTATTCTTCTTCTTGGGTGTAAAATTATTATAAATACCAGTTTATGCAGTTTAATTATGGCGTCTAAGATCGCAGTCGGACACTATCAGCTCGACTGGCCGTTTCTAGCCCTCGCTCGCACTGGCTCCACAGTGGAAATGCGGATAATGATTTCTGACTGGCATAAAACTGTTCAAATCAAACAAAATAAACGGGTAAAGGTAGAGACCACTTAAAGGAGCTGTATGTAAGAAATTTATTTCAAATAATCATAAAATGGCCCTGATATGTCACTAGACATTAAGAAATAATGTTCATTTCAAATACTTATATCACTGACAACTGTAGTCCAGTCAGGATATTGTCATTTAAAAAATGAAGTTTTAGCCTTCAACTGATGTTGATGATGTCATGTTGTGTTTTGGTCTGATGCTCCTCCCTCCACCGATCTACCAATCACGGAGTCAGTAGTGTTGCAGCATTCACACACAAAACTTTGTTGGTCAATAATGTTCTTGTGTTTCTGTTTTCCAGGTCAGATTTCTGTCTACAAAATCCTCAGTTTTCTTCTGGCAGCTTCTCCGTATCTGTTAGCGACAGTCGTGCTGCTTTTCAAATGTTACAGAGCGAGAGGTAAAACTTCTCACACACACACACACACACACACACAAGCTCTCTCTCTCTCTCTCACACACAAATTATTCACATATTCTCACTGACAGAAATGCCTTTACTGCCTGTCTTAGTATTAGATCTATATTTTGAACGGATGATGGTCATTCATGAAAGCAATAACTGCAGTGGAAAATAATATATATATATTTTTTTTTTAAATAAGACGTCCGTTTAAATGTTGAAAATGTTTTTTGTGTGTATTTTACAGTTTCATCTGCTGAAGACCAAAGTCAGTACGCCGTAACAGAGGAATAAACTTTTTGACAGAACAAAGTGATTCTTGCGATTGTAATTTAATGTGGAATGTACATTTGTGATACAAACAAAGGCTATTGGGGTATTTTTGCAGAGAATAAACGAGCCCGACGAAAGACTTTTTATGTTTTCGTAAACGAGACCCTTATCATCTCCCTGTAAATACAAAAATGCTCATTTGAAAATGGTGACGACATGCACATGCGTATGACGTGTTCATTCTTTTGGCTTTTTTAAATGAAAGGTTCATTTCAACGGACTCAAGGATGATAGATTTTTTCGAAGCCCTTGTGTTCAAAGGAAGTAAAAGTGACTTTATATCAGAGGAGATCATTCTAAGATTGGGATTACTGTGAACATTTCTGGCTTTATGAAGAGGAAATTTACCCAGAAAACAAAGTAATAATACAGTATTATCAAGATGAACATCCTTAGAATGGAAATCGGACAAAAAAAAACATGATATATTCTGTAATTTGTGTCTTTAGGCCTGTGTGCGCAGCTCGAGTGAACTACAGTAAAATAGTGTGTGTGTGTGCAGTGTGTGTGTGTGTGTGTGTGTGTGTGTGCAGTGCCGTATAGTCTTCATTTACAAAGTCACTTCGCCAGTGTATGTATGCTTACGTATCGCTGCTTTTCCAGAAAAAACAGCACTCTTGCTCTTAACTCTTATTTCTTACCTTTATCATTATAAATATACAAATCAGGAACTCATTAGTGAGGCATTCACCCAATGTAGGCTATTGATTTCATTATAAAAATAATATTGTGTTTATAAACCTTTGAAAACTATATATTTCATAACCATAAACTGTAATAAAAAAATAATAATAATGTTGTGTGGTGTTTTTCAGCTGAACTCTGCTGGAAAGTGGATCTCAAGGCTAGAGTTGCTCACTGGTTTATAATGTAACATCAATGCAATTTTTGGGGCTAAAACTAAAATGATGAAGATTATAGATAAGAGATATGATCTTAAAAGAGTCTCTGTGTTCTCTGATCAGACAGCCGTGCTGCTAAACATTAAAGCACGTGTGAGGGATGATATTTTATCTGAATACTGGAACAGGCTTAAAGCACTAAAGCATTTTTACATAATAAATAATACAACCAAAATGTTACAGAAAATATTAAACATTTATCGTGCTGAGAGTTGCTTCAAATCAATTTGTTTATCTTTGTTCATATATCCATGAATATAATTGTAAATAATAATAATAAATGATATAAAAAAAAAAAAGAGTATAACCTACATATCGCTACTCGGCTATTCTGGAAAACACAATGGAAAATGTAAAGAATTCGTTGATA